ATTTGACACATATAGTTGTTGTACACATGGCTAATTAATAATAAACAGCAAGCAGCTGTCATAAATGCTGGTAATTACTATGCTTTTATACCTCCAGATTCAGTTTTTCTCTTCTTTTTATAGACTGAATGACTATTTCGCTGATAGAGGAGATTCCTATTACACATTCCTACTGATATATTTGTTAAAAGACAAAAAGGTCCTTTAATAGTTGCCAAACAGAACTCGTTCAATCTTAATAGTAATCTTTTTGTTTTTTTAAAAATAGCCAGTGTAGTGAGGGTATAAGGAAACATATAAATTGCTGATGGCATTATAAACTTGTACAATTTGGGGGGAAAGCAGTTTGGCAATTATGAAAACTTACTTTAAAATATTCATGTCTCCTTCAACTTTTGAGGGAATCCATTCTGAGGAGGAAAAAAATTATACATGGCAAAAATCTATACACATAGATATTTGAGGTAAGCCACTTTGTAAATAGTGAACATTCAGAAAGTCTAAATATGCAGCTATGGGATGAATAATTTACTAGCTAAGTATGTTTACTGGTGGAATATTATGATGATAAAATTATTTTAGAAAATATAATTCCTATGAAATGTTCGAAGTGGCCTATATATTTTAAGAGCAAAATTAGGACATAAAGTTGTATGGCCAGTGTATTTTGCTGAGGGAAAAAACCAACATGTAAAGAAAAAAAGGAAATACAGACATGCTCAAAGTTGTGTTTGGTTTTGGTATTGTAGTTTTTTCCTTCTCCACATTTTCCTCTTCTTTTTTTTTTTTTTTTTTTTAATTTAAATAGGTGCTGGATCTAACTCTTAAACATTCAAGATCCCCTGCTTCTTTTTACCTTTTCTAAAATCTTGAAGCATTTAAGTGTGGAACTTTTAGAGTAATAAAAATCTGGATCTGTAGGACAGAGTTGGAAATGGATTCGGGGGCATGGGAGTGTATGAGATGGTGACAGCAGGGATGTAATTTTATGGGCTTTTCTGACCTGAAACTTAAATAAGACCTTGGATAAATCAGATTTTTCTTCCGTACTATGGCACTGTGTTGTGATAATAGTTAAGCTCTGCCTTAACTATTTCTTGTTTAGACACCCTATACCATAACCATGAGGTCAAGGCCCACTTTTTTGTTCCTGTATTCTCTGTTTGTAAAGTAGAATTGTCAGGCTCTGGAGGACTAGCCCCCCACTTCAAGAACTCAATCCCTGTCATCCCAAGGGAGAGTACTCTCTGAAACAAACAATACAGCCTGTTTGTATTGGTGGTTTCATGATTTTGTTTCTTAACATGGGGGAATGGTGCATAGTCTGCTAAGTAACCCCTCGCCTCCCTTCTCTGCCAATGCTTGCCTTTATCACGGAATTACTAAATACTGAACTTTGTGGTTTTCAGGCTTATTCCTCTGTGGAATTTCTTTTCTACCTCCCAACTTTTAATCACCCTGGTGAATGTGTACTTGATTACAGAGGTATTATTTATATCAGATTTACTCTTACCCCTGGAAAGAAGAGATGCTATTTTAGGCAATCGGGCCAGACTCCCAGCATTTCACAGATGTAGGTTGATCCCTTTTGCCTTCTAGTATGTAAATCAAAGCCGTCCCTGAAAAAGTATTTCCTGCATATGTATATTTACAGATAAATGGAAATATTTTCTGACATAACTCTGGTTCAAGTTTTAGTTTTGTTTTTCAAGGAAGATTTAAGTTGTGTGCTTTTTCTGGATTCATAGATTTTCTGATGTGCCAAGAGACATTGTGGTAGAATTGCATTCTGATTTAACAGATGTCTATTAAGCACCAGTTAAATTAGATAATGCTGTCATTTTTCCAGAATTAAGAGATCAGTAGACATAAATCCTCCCCTCAGGCAGCCCAGCATACACGTAACACACAACCTTAGATACATACACAGTGTGGTAAGTGCCATACACATAAAATTAACTGATTAGCATAGAAGAGAATGATCATGCCTGGAACAGTGAAAGGAAGGACTTCACCATCATTCACAGAAGAAAAGAGCCTAGGACCAGCTAAGGCCCAAAGGCATGAGTTAACAATGCATATTCACGGTGTGACATGTAATTGGCAGTCACTTGAATTTAATGTGTAATGGGAAGAAGCGTGGGGCTGTGGAATTGGGGAGATGAACCTGGACACATAGGTAGGGTCAGATTACAAAAGTAGCAGTGTGCCATACTTAGGAGTTTGGCCTTTATTGTGAAGGCCAAGGGGTCATTGAAAGTGCTCAAGTAAGGTGTGACAGAATCAGTTTTTATTTTACAAGTAGTATTCTAGCTGTAGTGTGGCAAACACATTGACCTGGGGAAGAGAGGAGAGGAACTTATGGCAGTGATAGTCCAGGCAAAGGGTTGTGGGGGCTAAACTCCAGGTTTTGGCAGAGAAGGAAAGCTGATGACAGAGACCAGAGGTAGGATTAGTAACTTTGGCGAATGGTGGAATGTCAGGGTCCTAGGTAGGAGTGAGGGTGACTTTCAGGTATAAGGAAGTAAAGTAAAAAATTTCTAAAGAATAAGTTATACGGAAGGGGAAGAAAAGTAGTTTTTAACATAATGATTTTAAGCTGCCATGTAATATTATGACTAGAAATAAAGAAAAAATGATGAATGCAACATTGATCTAATAAGCCGGTGTGTGAGTATGGGCCTCTGTTAGAGTAAATGTTAATGAGAAGTGCCAAAGCGGCACTAATGACCACTTCAGGGCTTCCTTGGTATTTGAGAACATTCTAAGCTCATGTGCAATAACTTGAGGTAGATGTAAGTACTCGTGATAGCTTCTCTCCCTGTCTGGCAGAACAAATTCAGAATATATTTAACATCCCTGCCAAAAATTGACATCGTTCCACCTGGAACTCTTAGAATGTTTTTGGACATAGGCTTGAACTCTATCATCTAATTAAACTGATTTAAGTTTAATGATTTTTTTTCAGTTATACTCATGGATTAGAGAGTGTAGAAATCATGAACTTTTTTACAATTTATAAGGCTTAGGAAAATCAAACCACTTTTATAAAACCTTGCTAATAAGAAATCTTAATGTTTCAGGCACTACCGAAACCACTTTCTAACACTCTTGAGTTAAAACAGAACAGTGATGCACTTATTTTATTTTCTGTTAGTAAACAGGAGCTGCTCTGCCTTACATTGCTTTATTCTTGGCCCTCTTCTGTCCAGTAGGAGCAGTAGAGCATAGTGGTTGTGGCCGTGGTCTCTGAATGAGTCCTTATTCTCTTAGTGGCTGTTTTCCCATTTGCTAATTCGATTATAAAATAAAATGTGTGCGTGTTGTAGGCTCTCCATAAATGATAATTGTTTATCTTCAAATCTTAATTAAATCTTAATCTTGAAATCTCTAAGCCACTAGGCTGTTTAGCTTTCTTTCCTGTTTATGATTTACTGCAGAAAGTCTCCAGCCTACTTTTTATGTATTTCACCGCCATATCTATTACCTTTTCTCCTCATCCTTCTCAGTCTTTATTCTCAGCTTTTTACCCTGGTGATCTGGAATCTTCTCATATTCAAGTAGTTGTGGGTTTCCTAATAGGACAGTGTGCAAAATGGTGATTTTTTTCCCCCCCATTGGTATGTTTCTTAGCCATCTCAGTGAACTCAGATTCAGCTGAAAACTGTAAATGTGTATAAATGATCTTGCCTGTTGAAAGAATCATGAGGTTAATATGAAAGTGTTTAAGGTAACATCTGTTCATGTCTCACTATGGGTAGTTACAGGGGTGGAATAGTTAGGCGTTCCAAAGACGGAAGGTAAGAGCCGTTAGGAAAATCAACTTAGGTGTACTTTGTCTATTAAACAATTAATAATAAAACAGTATTTTATTATAGACTGTTCGTAAGTGCCACACAGAGCCTAAGAGTAGAAGCACAAAATGCAATAAATAAATAAATGAATGAATGAATGAATGACATGGACTAAGCTCTAAAAAAAACTAGGGTAGACCACTACACAGCAGTTATTATATAGATCGACTCAGTTTAACTAAGATTCGAATAAGCCCATAGTTATATACTTTATTTAATAAGAAGTTTTCTTAACATTTTATATTACTTGTCTTATTTAATCGAATTGTTTAAAATACATTCGTGACAATTACTATTTAATGGTAACCTCTCTGGATATTTTGGTGACGAGAAGATCCATTACTGGGTCTGTCAGTTTACTAGAATTTTATTTTTCCAATTCGATGTTGACTTTCATAAAAAGCAAGGCCAATGTAAAGAGATTTTTATCGAGTGTGTTGGTTTTAAGAATTTCAAATTCAAGAATTACTAATGGAGGCAAACTAGATTCTCACTTGCTAACTCATTTTTAAAAGCTTAGATGGGTTATTATTAAGTGGCAAAGATTTCGTAAGAATTAGTAAATTTTTTTAGCATTTAACTCATACATTCACTGGATTTTAAGCATGAAGTTATTTTTCATTACTAAATTTTTTATATTAGTTTTCATTTCTTATATTAGTTTTAGTTTGCTTTTGATTTTCTAAGTAGTTTTTAAAAACCTGCCAAAGATTGAATTTATAAGGTGTTTGAATTCTTGTATGTAGAAATTTAAATATAGTACAAAAATGCTAAATGTCAATTTATCTTGGTCGAAATTATCTTGAGTGAAGCAGTTGAGTCACATAATTTCCAAATGTTTTTTTTCTAACTTTAAAGTTTGATGCTATTTATTGAGGGAACTTATGTGCCACTGCTAAATTTCATATGTACTAGAAATTTTAAATAGTACATTATATAATCAAAGCGAAAAGGAAAATATAACAAGATTAACATGTTTGGATTTGTTATTTCTTTTGTTTAAACACATATTTGACCTTAGCTAGCAGTGTGGGATTTCAGATGGGAAGAATAGGATTTCGAAAGATTGTAGAGGCCTCTCATTTGTGTCTTAAAGCTTGTTGCCAGTAGGAGAATAAATTCTTATACCTTTTCTTTTGCTTTTAGGATTTTCTCATTCAGCGTTTACCTTCGGTATAGAAAGCCATATCAGTCAATCAAACATAAATGGTGCCCTTGTCCCACCTGCTGCATTGATTTCTATCATCCAGAAAGGTCTACAGTATGTAGAGGCAGAAGTTAGTATTAATGAGGTAAGGACGACTTATTTCAAGTATTAATTCTTACTCTTAAATCTGTTCCTATCCGATACCTTGTTTGCTCATTCATTATCTGACCAGCATTTCCGGGTTAACGAAATTGAAAGGCTTTTTTCCTAATGTAGCGGTCAGGTTGCACAGGCAAGGTGTGTTGGCTGCCAGCGGTAAGGACCATTATCTGTAGCTTATTTCCCTTTAAATGGTTTTATGAGTAAACATTAAGAAACAATTTTCTTTAAAACAACAGCAATGTGCTCTGGAATGCTAAGACCATATTTGATGGTCTGAAAAATCAGAAAATCTAAGATTATTTGGTTATACCTGATTTTGGAAGGAAGTTTAAAACTAACGCTAATTCTTAACATTATTGCCTATTTAAGGTCCACACACAGGTGATTTAACTCAAGTGTCAGCTAGTTCTGACCTATGAACCAAACAAATCCTGCCTGCTGCTTATTTTGTAAAGTTTGATTGGAACACAGCCATGCTTATTCATTTATGTATTGTCTGGTTAATTTTGTGCTACAATGGCAGAATTGAGTAATTCAATTCTGACAGACCTTATGGTCTGCAAAGCCTAGAATATTTACTGTCTGATCTTTTACAGAAAAAATTTGCAAACCCTGGCCCAGCTGAACGTTTTAATATATGATCAGGATTTATGATATATGCAGCTTTTACCTTATTTTCATTTCGGAGATTAAAATATTTCCCTTTCCTTTCACAAGTATTTTTAAAACTGAAGCATCTATGGTTTCTGTGTCAGTATTTATTACTATAATTATATAGTATACTAAAATTGATTTTATTTGTTTCCTCATCTCTTTAACTGAAGGATCCACTAACACTAAATTAAATGTGTCCTCACTGTCTTTTAGCACTTTCCCTTTCAGAGTACCCTGGTGCAGAGGGTGATAAACATTTTCTGTCAATGGCTAGAGATGAAGTCTCATTTTATCTGAAAAACTTTTTGTAGATTTAATATAGTACTCCACAATGTGTTTGTGTTGATTTTAGTATTTTTAAGTTATTAATTAAAATACTTTCTCCTACTCCTCAAATACTCCATTGCAGTTGCCAACTCAGAAAGATGTGCTGTGTTTTTGTAACTCAGAACAGCCATCACACCATTACTGTCAATCAGCTTAAGTGAGCCAGGCATCACATACTCATATTGCTAGTTAATTTACACTGTTTCTGACTCGCTTTCTGTTTGTGTCTCTTCTTGTGCTCGCTGGAGAACTTTTTATTAATTGTGAACTTCCTAATATCAATGAGAAGAGCTTTGGAAAATTTTAGCAAATCCATAAAATTTAAGAGCACTAGTCTGTGAGTTAAGATGATACTTTTCAAATTTGAGTGAACATAAGACTCCCCCAGAGAGCTTGTTAAAACATGGATTCCTAAGCCCTTCAGAGTTTTTGATTCTGTACATTCGAATTTACATTTCTAACAAGTTACCAAATGATGATGGTCCTTGGCTCACACTTTGAATAGCACTGGTTAAAAGATTCCAACTGCCATTGACTAGCTAGCTGTATAACTTCAGCAAGTCTTTAAACTTTATTGTGCTTGCATTTCAATGTTAGTAAAACTAGATGTTATACAGCATAATGTCTGAAGTCTATTTCTGGTTTAATATTTTAATCAAATCACAAGAAACTTTTAAGTCCACCATACTTCTATTTTAGAAAATTGTAGTTTTAAAGAAGTATTTACTGTGGCACTGAATCTTTCATCATTATACGAACGGTTTCATATTAGACGTTACTTTTGACTCTCAGAATTTTGGAATGTAATTAATAAACCATTTTTTATCATCTAGGCTTACTTAGTCCTTTCAGTATTTAAGCCATATATGTGCAACATGTAACGATAAGAGCTAAGTGAGGAGGAAAAGTTGAACAGCTATTTGCAGTTGCTTCTTGAAGTTTCCTTCTTCCCTCTGACTCCTTTCCTTCTTATATGCATTCAAAAAATTATCTAAAAGTGGTTTTTTTTTTTCTTGGAATGATGCTTTTAAATTTCTGCTGTTGACTTATATGAATACCAATTACCCTAAATTTGTTGCCTTTGATTTTTCTTCTCACAATTTTCCAAATCCAGGATGGTACCTTGTTTGATGGCCGACCAATAGAGTCTCTGTCACTGATAGATGCCGTAATGCCTGATGTAGTACAAACAAGACAACAAGCTTACAGAGATAAGCTTGCACAGCAACAAGCGGCAGCTGCCGCAGCTGCTGCAGCTGCCACAAACCAACAAGGATCTGCAAAAAATGGAGAGAACACAGCGAATGGGGAGGAGAATGGAGCACATACTATAGCAAGTGAGCTGAGATAGAATTCTCAAAAATTCCTTTTCAGAAGAAATATTTTGTTTTGTAGGGATGTTACACCTTTGAAGCTAAAATAACATCATCTGTATTATTTACGCCAACTTTTTCCCCTAACACTTATCACACAATTGAGATTTTTATTCCTGAAGCTCCAGAAAGTTAGATTTACATTCATGGATTTTATTTTATTTTTTTTTAAATACTTAGAAACCGTTTTTCTATGGTTAAATGAATTTTGTATCTGTATTTGATTTCTAAATAAAATTTGTAATACTAGTTATTAACTAATATAATACGGCTTTGGCATAGAGAGATGAAGGCAACTCTCATGTTATATGAATGATATCAGCAACCCCTACTGGCAGAAACTCAGAATAGTATTATTGGCATGGATTACATTTAATTCAAACCATTTTATCATTTCGGTCGTGTTTGGGTCTACCTTTTTACAGCCCTTCTCTACCCTCACTCTTCACCTCCCACCTGTAAATACACTCACTCACATACATCTTTTAAAAATAGTATGGTCATACTTAACTAAAGGTAGGAATTTATTTTCCATGTGTTAAATGCTATATAGTCATTTTCACCATTCTGACATAGTAAAAAAATGTTGCATTATATATTACAAAGAAAGTGTTAGCTGATTAAG